ACGTCCCCTTCCTTTGCTCAGGCACACTCACCCTCACACCCCCACATGTTCCCTCACACATGTGTGTGCACACACCTTGGATAGGCAGATGCACATGCCTTCACACTTGTGCATGCACCTTCAGAGACAACCTGCATGCATGCGTGAACACACACACACAGGGAGCCAGACATGGTAATCCCTCTCCCAAGCCAGCAGTCAGGTCATTCTGATCCCAGCCAGCTGGATTCCCCTCCCACATCTTTCACTCACACACCCCTAGATCCAGCTCGGTCCCTGCTAGGCCATGTGGCGTGTTCATATCTCTCACACCTTGGGCACCTCCAAGAGTAGCCACTGAAGAGGGGAGCCAGAGGGATAGCCTGTCTGGTGGATGGAGAGCGTAGGAAGGAGTGGGACAGATGGCAGAGTCCCAGCAGGGGAGCTGGCTGCAAGCACAGTGCCAGGGAGTGCCATGACAGAATCAGACTCTCAGCATTGTCTAGTACTGCCGTCCCTCTGCTGCACCAACAGAGCTGGTACTGCTGGGCCTGCCGCGCACAGCCCAAGGCAGTTGTGCCCAGGTCTTTCCCAGCACCTGTGCTCTGGCCAGGCTGCAGAGTGTTTCATAGCTGGAGATACTGCATCCTGAAGTGCTGGCTTCCCTCCTTAGGTCCTCTGGCCCCACTAGCTGTGCACCTGGTGAATGAGGGGCACCCTGACATGCTGAGCGCATCATGGGGAGCAGCGGCAGGGAGCCAAGACAGCTACACACTAATCCTGTGCCACGTGGGATCAGGCACCGTGGTTGCAAGGACCTCTCTTGGGAAAGATGCCCACAACTTCACCTTTGAGGATCTGGCCCCGGGACATGAGTACTTGCTGGAGGTTGTCTCCACAGCTGGACCCTATTGGGCATCAGCTGCCAACGTCAGCAATTGGACCTGTGAGTGCTGCAATTAGATTTCCCTTTTGGGAGGTGCAAAGAGGAGGCTGCGACAGAAGGGAGTCTGAAGATCCTGGCAGTGGTGGGTGGTGATTGGCACGTGCAGGAGCTCAGACACTGCTAATGGGGGAGGACAATGGGTTACACCCCTCCCACTGGCATGTTCACAGAAAAAGGTAGCCATGCACAGCCACACAGATGTACATGGCATGGACATGCTTCTACCACACATACAGGGCTCCAAAGCAATGCCCTTTCACATAAGTACATACATGTGGGCAGAGTACTCATGCATTTCATCACAGTGACATGTATACCCTGACATCAGCATATGCACATCCCGACGGGGACACATACAGACATGCCAGTCCACATCCATGCGAAGGACAGAGTTCATCTGCATGCTTGTGAATGGGATCCTGGAACTTCCCACCTAAAGAAGCACGGGGAGGGAAGAGGCCGTTGGTTCAGGATCCTTCTGGTTGGGATCTGGTGACCTTGGGACTGGCTCAGCTGCAACACGCTCAGTAGCCTGGGGCACATTTGGAGTTGGCCTCGCTGACACCAGCTTGCCATGCAGGCTCTAGGAGGGGCACAGATGAGTGCATAGGAGCAGAAGGATCTAGGAGCACTTGCACTTCAGATCCATCTCAGCAGCTCCCCACAGGCACCAGCATGTGGATGGAGTCCCAGGAGTGGACTTAGTAGAGGTGGATGTCATTTTCTTGAACTTTAGCAAGGCCTTCAATACGGTATCTCATCCTATTCTCATAAATAAATTAGAAGGCTGTGACATAGATGTTTACACGGTCTGGTGGGTGGCAAATTGGCTTAGTGGTCACACCCAGAGAGTGGTAGTAGATGGGTCAGTATCAACCTGAAAGGATGTGGGTAGTGGGGTCCTGCAGGGTTCGGTCCTTGGACCTGTGATCTTCAATATCTTCATCAGTGACTTGGATGTGGGTGTGAAGCATACTCTGTCCAAGTTTGCAGATGATACTACATTGTGGGGTGAAGTGCACACTCTGGAGGGTAGAGAACGATTGCAGACAGATTAGAAAAGTGGGCAGTACACAATAGGATGCAGTACAACAAAGACAAGTGCAGAGTGCTGCACCTAGGGTGCAAAGTATCCAGCACACCTACAGGGTGGGAAGTGACCCTCTCAGCAGCACAGAAGCGGAAAGGGATCTCGGAGTCATAGTGGACTCCAAGATGAACATGAGTTGCCAGTGTGATGAAATCATCAGCAAAGCTAACTGTAGTTCATCATGCGTCAGCAGATGCATGACGAATAGAGCCAAGGAGGTGATACTTCCCCCCTATGCGGCATTGGTCAGACCGCAGTTGGAGTACTGTGTCCAGTTTTGGGCACCATACTTCAAGAGGGATGTGGATAACCTGGAGAGGGTCCAGAGGAGGGCCACTCATATGGTTAGGGGCTTACAGGACAAGCCCTCTGAGGGGAGACTGAGGGACCTGGACCTCTTCAGTCTCCACAAGAGAAGGCTGGGAGGTGATCTTGTGGCCGCCTACAAATTCATTAGGGGGATGCAACAAGGTATCGGAGATGCTCTGTTCACCAGGGCACCTCTTGGGGTAACAAGGAACAATGGTCACAAACTGACAGAGAGCAGATTTAGGCTAGATATCTTCATGGTAAGGGTGGCCAAAGTATGGAATGGGTTTCCAAGGGAGGTGGTGCTCCCCCCTACCTTGGGGGTCTTTAGGAGAGGGCTGGATAGGCATCTGGCTGGGGTCATGTGACCCCAGCGCTCTTTCCTGCCCAGGCAAGAGGTCGGACTCAATCATGTGTTGAGGTCCCTTCCAACCCTAACATCTATGAATCTGTGAGTGGGGAAAACGCATGCATCAGGGGAAGGGACTCTGACGTGGCATGAGGGGCTGGCAGCAGTGTATGAGGGTGGGCCGGGAGGGAGAAGCAATGTGTGATGGGAAGGAGTGGGGAGGGAGTCAGGATGAGTGTGACAGGGTAACTGTGAGCTTCTCTGCCTGGACAGCCAAAGCACTGACATGCAGCACCCCATGCAGGCTGACATTGCCTCCACTCCTTAATGTGCTGTCTTCTGATCTCTCAGGTCCTCTGGCCCCACCGTCCCTGCGCCTAGTGAATGAGGGGCAGCCCGACAGGCTGAGTGCATCCTGGGAAGCTGCGGCAGGGAGCCGAGACAGCTACATGCTAACCCTGTACCATGCGGGATCAGGCACCGTGGTGGCAAATGTCTCCCTTGGAAAAGATGCCCACAACTTCACCTTTGTGGGCCTGGCCCCAGGACACAGGTACATCCTGGAAGCAGTCTCCAAGGCTGGGCCCTGCTTGACGCCCGCGAGGAACATCAGTGACTGGACATGTGAGTAGCGCAAAGCATCCATGAGGCCACAGCCCAAGGAGCCAATTAAAGCAGGCTCACCGTTCCTCACTCAGACCCCAATGGCTCACTCGGGTATTGATCCCCCAGGAAGGGGCTGAGCTCCTGTGTCAGCAGAATTCATGTGCTTTGGCTTTGGCAGGCTGGAGGGTGCAGGCAAGGGAGGTGAACCTATAAGTACTGGCCAAGCACTCAGCAGGATTCAGGCAGACTAAGCTCACAGCCTTCCCACTGTAGGACGGCAGCTGGGACATTGCTTCCATGGCTTGTCTATACCATGAGGCAATTGGTCTTGGCAGCGGGGCTTGAACACATAATGCCCACACTCTGCCCACCTGCACCTACTGGTACACTCCAACCTGGAAGCACCAATGAGGCCAATTCTGGTGGCTGCTCTTAAGCCTGCTAGAGACAGCGATCGAGAGTGGCTTCTGGGAATGAGTCTGAAGCAGCCTCACTAATGTACTAGATTTGGAGCACGGCAGCAAACTCGGATGGGTGCACTCTTGACCCTGGGCACTGGGACCTACTGCAGCTGCAGTGCAGACAAGCCCTAAGTAGACAGACACCTTGTTCTGAAGTCAAGTAGGAGGCAGGGTAGATTTGCAGCTTATAGACTAACTAAAGTAAGCGTGTGCCTGTAAGTGGGCAGGACTGGTATAAAGTGAACCTGTGCTCTGGCAATCAGGCCTGTAATTACAGTGCTGTGACTTTCTTTCCCTGTCAAATCACAAGCTAATGTTTTTCTAATTGCTACCTGTCTCGCTGCTGGCAGCCTGAGAAATGACCTAAGTCTTTCAGGTTTGTGTCTGCACCTGTAATACACCTGATGATACAGCATGTAATGCTTACCTGATGGCCACTTTGGGGGGTGGTGCAGTTGAGCTAGTAGGAAAATGTTTTCTGTGACAAGTCCGTTTGTCTCTACAAGGAGCTCTGTTAGCATGAGTTGATATCAGAGGCACTGTAAGTCCTTGGCCAGCCTCCTGCAGCCCCTTGAGTTCACAGGAGTGATGGTGCAGACCCAGAGCACCTAGTTGATTTCTTTATGTTGGAGCTTCTCAGGGATTTTGCGTGTAGTTTAGCATCACTTTTACAGGAAATGTGCCTTGTTAGTCAGATACGTTGATCCCAGGCATCATGCCACAGGTTGGGCAGGCTGCAGGTGTGGGGTGAGCTGTATCCCCAAAGGGACTTTTCAAGATGAGAGGGGAGCAGGGTAGTGTGTCACTCATGCTGATGTGTTTTGCTGGAGCTCCTGCCAGGGTGGCACGGCTCCTACTGTCCCTACCCACAGGCCTTGGCCAACAGACACTAGCCCAGATCCACCTGCAGAACCAGCCATGAACACCTGAAAACTTTCCCCATCGGCCCAAACATATCTGATGCACAGGTTCCCCCTGGCAGGTGGAGGCCCTTCACTTCCACACCTATTACTGAGCTCATCTCAGGGCAGGATTTCAGAATACTTGGCACCGGGAAGAAAAGCAATGGGAACTGTCAGCCAGCCTGCATCCTAGGAGCACAGTCCTGCCTTCCCCAGATGCTGGCAAGGGAGGGGACAGAGTGTGCTAGCTGATGGTAATGCATCCAAGTGGGGGATGCTCTAGACCTTTGCTGGTACACGCAGCTTCCATCTTTTCTCTTGGTGTTTCTTTAGACCCACTGCCACCCCTTAATGTGTACATGACAAACCAGGGGCACCCTGACAGGCTGACGGCATCGTGGGGTGCAGCTGCTGGAGAACGAGATGGCTACCTGCTCACCCTGTACCATGCGGGCTCAGGTTTTGTGGCAGCCAATGCTTCTGTTGGGAGAGATGCCAGCAAGTTCACCTTCTCACGCCTGGCTCCGGGGCACAAGTATTTGCTAGAGGTGGTCTCTATGGCTGGGCCATACGTGGCATCAGCAGGCAACATCAGTGACTGGACAAGTGAGTGGCGTGCTGTGCTTCACTCAGTGCCAGGGAGTGGCAGAGCATTGTGTACACATGGTACTCGTGGTGGGGAAGCTGCAGTGCGGTGGTGTGGTGTTACCACAGGGCACAGGGGAGGGGGGAGAGGCTAGAGCTGCTCTCTGACAGCTCGTGACCTGCAGGCACTGACTCTACACTCCTTGGAGGCAGAGCCATCAAGAAGGAGTCATGAATGGTTGGCTTGTGTGGTGCCCTCATGCACCCACCTGTAGGAAAGTGAGGAAGCTGAGGTCAGTGTCCCAGGACAGGTTTTCTGTCCTCCCTGTCTCGCACTGGTGGCCATTCGCCTTTAGGCACTTGGGCTGTTTGTAGCAAAGACTGTTGCACAGAAAAGGGAATCCCCCAAGCCATTGCTCCTGTCCATTCAGGGGCATGGCCTTGTAGCCACAGGATGCAGCAACAGCAGCGCTCTGCCTCCAGCGTCCTCTCTGGGACTCAGCTCCTTTGGGCGCTCTTGGAATTTATGATTCAGGGTGTAAACAAATGGGCTTGCCCTGTTAGAGGCAATGTGGAAAGGCAAAACAAGTGCTGCTTGCCCACAGTAGGCATTTCGGTCTGCACAGCCTTGTGGCACCAAGGCTGCCACTGTAGAATCGTTTAAGTTGCTGGTACAAGTGGCAGAGGAGGATGGTCCCCTACATGCCAACTCCCACAGGCTGCACTGGGTGCTGGAAGTGCCTGGGTGCTGGCCTCCAGCAGAAGATCACTGATTTGCAGGAAGGAGGGACCTGCCCTTCTTTTAGAAAGAGAGAAGCTCCCATGCCAGATCAGACCTTGGGCTCAGCTAGCCAAGCTTCGTTTCCAGGAGTGCCCAGAGCAAGATGTTTCAGAGGGAGCTGTGAGACTCACCTGGGATAGTCTGTCCTCCTGATAGTCCCAGTTGACATGTAATAGTTAGAGAACAGCTCAAGTTCTGGGCATGAATTTTAACATCCCTTCCAAAATCTGTGTTATGCTGAAAGCTGGTAGTTCTGCCAGCCGCTACTCCCTCTTCATGACAGAAAAGACAAAAGTTTTGTCACTTCATGATAAAAACAGCCTCAGTACTAATGAAATGCAGTTTAGACTTTCAGTGAATTCGTAAAGTTGTAATGATGTGATTTTATATACCCAAGCCCCTGTTTTCCACAGTAGCCTAAGGTTAGATTCCTCACCCTAGATGTTGGTTAATCTTCAAGGGCTCCTAAGGGAGTCAGGCACATAAAACTCATAAGCTCCAAACATCAAAGCCTGATGGAGGAATACAGTCCAGGCAGAATATTCCAGGTCTCCCACGTCCACAGTATCCACACTGGAAGGCAATGCTGGTTGCAAGTGTAGCAGGGGCTATTTGCTTATTTGTGCTGGGTGTGTTCTCACACAAGTAACCCCAGGCTTGTCTCTCTCGGCAGAGACAAAGGTTTTCAGATGACACTTCTTAATAGGGACACTTGTTTAGGGAAAATCTGGGAATTTACCACCAATTAGAAAATGAATTCAGGAGACAAGTACAAAACCTCCCTGGGGCAATTCAAGATTGAGAAGAAAGAAAAAACCCTAGTGCAGCAGAAATAAAAGGGTGGATTTAAATGAAAAATAGCATGGTTATTCCCTATTGCCCTCCTGGATTTTCTGTCAGGGTTTGGGATGGTGCAGCTTGCCTGAGACCTGACTTTCTCCTGTGGCTTTTTTTATAATGCAGCCCCCTTAGTTCCAGCGGATCTCTCTGCGGTGATTGGGGAGAATCGCACACTGCTGTCGGTGTCATGGGGACCCTCCTCCAGCCAGCAGGACTACTGCCAGCTCTGGCTGCGTGAACCTGGGAACGGCACACTCCCACGACGGCACACCCTGGCCCGGGGGCAGGTCCAGCATGTGTTCTGGGGGCTGGTCCCAGGCAGAAATTACTCGGTTTCCTTGAGCTGCGTGGCCGGGCCATATTGGAACAGCACAGGAATCTTGGCAGTGCCAGTAGGTGGGTGTGGGCTTCCACGAGGCAGGAGTTTGCAGGTGCTAGAAATTAATGCCTGTCTATGCAGAGCAGGGGCTGAAACACATGGGGATGTAGTGACTGCAGGCTCCCAATCAGCTGTCATGGGGTGAGTGATGCCATGTTGCTTCCAGTGGAGGGATCTCCTGCCAGAAGACAGAGCAGGAGCCTGAGGAGGACTGAAGTTTCATAGTTAGTAGGGTCGGAAGGGACCTGAGCAGATCATCAAGTCCGACCCCCTGCCATGGCAGGAAAGAGTACTGGGGTCAAACAACCCCAGCAAAGTGATTGTCTAGCCTCCTCCTAAAGACCCTCAGGGTAGGAGCCAGCACCACTTCTCTTGGGAGTTGGTTGCAGACCCTAGCCACCCTGACCATGACGTAGCGCCTCTTGATGTCTAGACTGAATCTACCCCCTGCCAGCTTGTGACCGTTATTCCTAGTCACTCCTGGTAGTGTTCGGGGGAACAGGGACTCCCCCAATGCCTGCTGGTCCCCTCTGACTAGTTTGTAACATGCCACTAGATCCCCCCTCGGCCTTCTCTTGTGGAGGCTGAACAGGTTCAGGTCCCATAGCCTCTCCTCGTAGGGCCTGCCCTGCAGCCCCCTGATCATGCGAGTGGCCCTCCTCTGGACCCTCTCCATGTTGTCCACATCCCTCCTGAAGTGCGGCGCCCAGAACTGGACGCAGTACTCCAACTGTGGCCTGACCAGTGTCGCATAGAGGGGGAGGATCACCTCCTTGGACCTGCTCG